CACCCCAGACGTTGCCCAGGACCCCGTAGCCGCTGTGATTTCGGCTTGTTGTGTCCCTTTCTTCGGATGGGGCTTGCAGATGAGAAAAATGGCCATTCCAGCCAGTGAGGCTCAACCCTGTAGGCACCTCCCCTTTATGGACCAATGGGAAGTGACGCGGAAGTCGGGATTGTTTATCAGCTGTTTGCTTGTGTGTGGCGTTGAACTGGAGGCCATATGATTTTCTTAAGCTGTTTTACGGTTTGTGGAAAGAGTAGGGCAGATAGGCTCAAACTGGGAAGGCCTAACCAAAGTATCTTTAATTATAATAGTAGGGTGTTTCTGAGTACATGTGACTCACTGAGGTTACTTTGTATTCTTGCCTTAACAGGATTGTATTTCAGTTCTTCCCCCGTAGTTATATGTGCAGGGGCGTGGGGGACAGGCCTAGTAATCTAGTGTCCATAGAACTTGACAGACCTAGGTGACATTGGACAATTTACCTAACCACTGCAGCGCTCGATTTTGTGATACGTGAATTTGAGATTCTTTGTACCTGCGTCGCAGAGTTGTCTTGAAGGTTTAATAAGGGAATGTGGAGTTTCTGTTGTGGACAGTGCTTGTGCTCCGGAGTTTGCAGAGCTCTTTCCTATACGTAGGTGATGTGGCCGCACAGGCCACGTTCCTATTTATTTTTCAGTGGTTCTGTGGTCAGTGGTTCCTGTGGTTCTTTGGTTATGGGCAGAAGTGCTTCCAAATAAGCTTTTATTTTATCCTCACGGTAATCTTTTAAGTTACATAGAACAAGTACTATCACCATTCAGTTGAGGTGTCTCAACCCATGGGATTAAGTTGTATGAAGTCCAGTGTTAGGTAAGCAAGCGGCTAATAATGGTTAGTAAATTGTTTTTGAAAACACGTTTGATTAGCTCAGTTTACCCAGTAAGTGAATGAATATTCATTTATCAATTTTTTTTCCGCCTCTTTTTGGCCAGATACTGTTGTAGATGGTGGGGACAGAGCAGTGAGCAAAACTTAAAAACCCCCACCCTCATGGAGCTTGTTGTCAGGGATGATGTGAAATAATGGAGGATGTCAGGCTCGTGGAAAATAAAGCTCATATGATATTTAATACAGAGTATCGGTTATAGAATTTTATCTGCTGATTTCTTGGTTTTTTATGCTTTCATTCTCACAGCCCTCAGATAAGGAAGTTGAGGCTCTCTGTTCATTTGTCCCACATGGGGACCCCCAAAGCACATGTCCTGAGAGAGTGAGGCAGGTGGAATCTTTATTGCCTTTTATGATCTTACGAGTTACCTAGCATCATCTGCACCTCGGTTGAGATAGTTCAAAATGAGGGCATAGAACACAGATTCCTGTCTCCCAGTGTGAAAATGTCAGTGTCACAGTATGAGAACACTCAGGATGGAGCTGTCATTGAAAACACAGCTTCCCACAGACATAAAAAATTAAACTTTGTTTAATCATAAAAGTTTTTTCATACTGAAATGTATATATAGCTCATCAGGTAAAAATCAATATTCCTTTATTTTACAGGGGAATGATCTTCACTGGTTAGCATGTGCCTTATATGTGGCTTGCAGAAAATCTGTGCCGACTGTAAGCAAAGGGACTGTTGAAGGAAACTATGTATCTTTAACTAGAATCCTGCGATGTTCCGAACAGAGGTAACTATGTCAGAGTTGGAAAAGTAGAGTGTGACAAATGTAAAAGGTCAAAAATCATAGTGATAGAATTCTCTGTTTATCATTTCCAGGGCATTTTTGTACCTATAGAGTGCTGAATTTAGAGACTAGGTCATGGCTTTCCTTTACCGCATCTAAGTTGGTAGCCATTATATTTTACTTCTTTTGTGAAAAGTATTGAAATTTTAATGTATTAAAACTTGTATGGGAGCACCTGGGTGGCTCGCTCAGCCGAGCGTCCAACTCTTGATTTCAGCTCAGGTCATGATCTCACAGTTCATGAGTTTGAGCCCCACATCGGGCTCTGTGCTGGCCTGCTTGGCCTGTGTGGTGCCTGCTTGGGATTCTTGCTCTCTTTCCCTCTCTCTCTGCCCCTTCCCTGCTCACTCTCTCTAAAATAAATAAATAAACTCAAAAAAAAAAAAAAAAAAAAAAAAAAAAGACTTGTTTGTATGAAGAGTAGTATTAAAGGTTAGGACTTATTATTATGTGATATTGGAGGAATTCTAAATAAGGATATTAGAGAAACTTTAGGAAATACTCTAAATTGTAAAGGTAAATAAAATATGGTATTAAACTTAGAACTACGTGCCCAGGATTTGTATCTTTATATATAAATATATGGAATGTGTAAATACTTCTCCATTTGCTGCTTGGGGGGATATGCAACACTATTACAATCAGTTTCTGAAAGGGTCAAATAATGTTTTAAAGAAGAGGCAGAAATTGCTTTTTCTATCTGTTGTGTAATTGAATTGATTATATTTATTTGTGCCTTTTGGGTGAATTTTCTCTTATGGCTTATTAAAGATTGGTGGGAAAAAGGATATTTGGCAGTTTGTAGGGGGAATACCACTGTCAAAATTTATGTACCTAACGGTTTAAAAAATCACTTACTATTAAAATAATTAACAAGAAATGTAATATTCTATTAACCTTGAACTCCATCCTGAGTTATATTTAGGCCTAAGGACAAGAGGCAGTGCATAAAGAGTTGAACACCTGGTCTGCAAACCTGCAGAAGTGGACTTAAATAAGGTGCAAAAGTAGAATCATTACGGAAAAGCAAAGTGGAGACAGAGTAATCCAGTTAAGTGACAGACAAGGAACTTTAGAAGCAAAGGTCAAATTATGGAATCATCATAAACCATAGTAAATTGAATTCATCCAACATTTTAATGCAAGTAAGCTAGTTCTAGGCTTCAGTTGTGTTTCCATTTCAAAAACTCAGTTTCTATCTTTAAATTTTACCTCTGGGCTCAGATTATTTACTTTTTTGCCATAATGGACTAAAACGGATTAAAAACGAAGAGTATGTTGGGAGAAGATATTTACAATGTGTATAAATAACAAAAGATCAGTGTCCAGAAGTATATAGAGAATGGCTAACAAATGGTTGCATGATTGACAACTAAATGGGTCCTAAAAAATGGGTAAAGAATATGATTTCACAAAGCTCAAAACTCACATAGCTAATAGATGTATGTAAAGAAGTTCAGTCTCACTGGTAATAAGGAAGTTCAAAGTAAAAACAAGGTAACTGTCATTCTCATCAGATTGGGGAAGTTTGAAGGCTGATAAAATCCGCTCTAGTCACTATGTAGGGAAACAGGAAGTCTGTATTGCTGGTGTGCATTGGTGAGAGTATAAATTGGCACGGCCACTCGAGTGGCAAATTTGGCAGTCTCTAGTAAAGTTGGAGATGCACCTTCTCTGACTCGGCAATTCTTCATCTTGGCCTAGTTCGTAAAGAAGCTCTTACATACAGGTGCAAGAATGTGTTCATTACAGCCTTTTCGTGTTATAATGTAAAATTGGAAACCTCAATTTGCACTGGTTGGGGAACGAATGCAAAAAATCATGGTAGTTCATATGCAGGAATATTTTTAACATTAAAATAAATGAATTAGATCTGTACATATTAATCTCAGAAACATTGAATGAAAAAGCATGTTGCTGAATGCTACTTACAGTGTGATACTATTAATATAAAATCTTAAAACCCACACATAAAGATGATACTACTTACTGTTTATGGATACATATAGATCCATATATGTGTAGATACAAATGTATAGATACATATAGATTCGTATATGTATAGATTCATATAGATGCCATATAGTAAGGGTATTAAGTAGTAAGTATATAAAAGCAAGGATGGGAAGGATTCGGACTCACTTGAGAATGGTGGTCATCTTTGGGGAAGAAGAGGGGGCCATGGGTTTGGGGAGGAGTACAAATGAGAATTTGGCTGTTTCTGTTTTACCTGAAGCAAACACGGCAAAATTTATTCAATATGTTAATGTTTGTTAAATCTGGCAGTGGGATACATAAGTCTTGGTTACATTACTCTGGCTGATTGTTTTATATTTTTATATATTTCATAATTTAAAAAGTCAGGTCATCTCAGAAAAAAGGTACTTTAGGAAAATCAGAGAAATTCACCAATCTGTAAGACAGGAAGCTAGTCAGAGGCATGAGTTGTGATTTTATATCACTGTCTAAAAGTAATTTAACAAGTTCATTTGATTTAATTATATTTGTGTTCTCTCCCTTTGTGTTAATTTTGAAAATGTCTCATTGTTTATTTTTAATATCAGCTTACTTGAATTTTTTCACAAGATGAAGAAGTGGGAAGACATGGCAAACCTACCCCCACATTTCAGAGAACGTACTGAGAGACTAGAAAGAAACTTCACTGTGTCGGCGGTAATTTTTAAGAAATATGAACCCATTTTTCAGGACATTTTTAAATATCCTCAAGAGGAGCAGCCTCGTCAACAGAGAGGAAGAAAACAGCGGTATATACATATACATATTTTAAAAATTTTTAGTGTTTTATTCATTTTCTGAGAGAGAGAGAACAGGGGAGGGGCAGAGAGAGAGGGAGACACAGAATCCGAAGCAGGCTCCGCGGCCCGGAGCCTGATGGGGGCTCAAACTCATGAACCATGAGATCATGACCTGAGCTGTAGTCAGACGTTTAACTGACTGAGCCACCCAGGCGCCCCGCAGTATGTTTTTTTTATATTTGTTAGTCAGGACTACACATTTTTAAAATCTGTGCTGCAGTTTTGATCCCTCGGTTTGTGTCACTTAGCTTATTTTGCTAGTCTTAAAAAAACAAATGTGATTTCATAAGTAATCTTTCTTTCCGATGGCTCTCTTTTAACAATAATTTCTTGCTTTTCATTGTATGTTAGCCATAAAGAATTTGGCTTCCTTCATATTGCAAAGTGTATGGGATTATTGTTTCTGTAAACTTTCCCTTTTTATTTAAGCAACCCAAATGCAAAAGTCAGAACTTAGTATTTTCACCAGTTAGCCACCTGGGTATCGAATTTGACCCCTTAATTTTCTGTTATTGGCTATGTTGACTGTTACTATTATTTTCTGTATATTATTATATCAACTATTTCTCTTGACTTCTGTGTCCGACTTAGAAATCGATAATCCCCTCTGAGCTGGCTTCTGTATGTATTTTGATGTTTATAACTGATCAAGAGTAGACAAACTGGATGGAGGGAGAATAAGGGGACAGAAACTATTATGAATTTGTGCTTTCTGATCATGTCTTCAAAATCTGTAACCTGACTCTGGCTCAGTGTTTTCCATCTTTCCTGATAGATAAAGGCAGTCATGGGGTACACATTCTCTACCTTTATCATGAACACTTTTTCAAAAAGTAGAAATGGAGGGGCGCCTGGGTGGCGCAGTCAGTTAAGCGTCCGACTTCAGCCAGGTCACGATCTCGCGGTCCGTGAGTTCGAGCCCCGCGTCAGGCTCTGGGCTGATGGCTCAGAGCCTGGAGCCTGTTTCCGATTCTGTGTCTCCCTCTCTCTCTGCCCCTCCCCCGTTCATGCTCTGTCTCTCTCTGTCCCAGAAATAAATAAATAAACGTTGAAAAAAAAAATTTAAAAAAAAAAAAAAAAGTAGAAATGGAAATTGTTCTTAAGATAGAACTAGAAAAATGTTGACAAGAAAAGCGGGGGGAAAAGAGTTAACACAATTGAACGAATAATGGGTGCTTCTCTTTCAATATAAACATTTTTCCCAAATTGTGAAGGGTGTTTATGGTAAGTGAGCAGCTTTTAAAAATCAAACAAACTATGTATTTTCTTGGATAGTTGACCCCACTGTTATGGAAGCAGCTGGTCCAGTTTGCTTGTAATTTGGGGGGAGTTGACTATGTACAATTAAATAAAGTTTGGATAGATGCTTTGTTGTAAGTCTGAGCGAGGCTGATGTGATCATTCACAGGAAGATATAGAATATCTTCTTTTTTGGAGTGTTGTAGGAAATGATTTTAGGTTGTGCTTGCTTTGATATTTATTAGGGTATGTATATTACCTAATTCTGGTTAAGAAAATTGTAAGATAATTTTAATTTTAAAAGCTTAAAATATACTGTATACCTTTATAATAGTAATAATCATGTATACCATTTACTGAGCATTGTTATGGAGCAGGAGCTGTCCAAGATTTAAACCTGTATAACTTGAATGAATCCCTATGACAACTATATAAGATTGATGCTGTTGTTACAGGCGGGGGAACATAACCCCTTCAGAGGTTAAGTAATTTGGTCACAGTCACATAGTAAGTGTGGAGCTATTATTGACACTGGTAGTCTGCTTGCAGAACCCATGTCCCTTACCACTTCTCTGTAGTGTACCCCACACATACCAGTCTCTGAAAATTTGTCACTGGGTATTTATTGAGAACTTACTGTGTGAAGTATGTTGTTAGGTATTTTATATAGGACACAAATATTGAAAAAAAAAAAAGCCCATAGCCTCTGTCTTTTGAGAGCTTACGGTATAGTTGTGGAGAGGAGGCATGTATAAATGCAAAAGATAACAAAAATATACAACTTCTGAGGCAAAATTAAACCACTGGGCATGAGCCAGTCAGGTACAGTTCCATGAAGTAAGGAACGATGGGTAGGATTTTGATGGGTGAATTTGGAGATGTAGATAGAGCCTTCTTTGTACAGGATGTGTACATGAAAATAGCAAAGAGGCGATTGGCTGAGTAGGTTCAGTAGGTCAAGTTCTAGGGTTCTCAAGTCATAGATTCACTGTTGAGAGTGGCTTGAGTTCTAAGCTAAAAAGCTTGACTTTAAAATAATTAAATAAATTAATTTTAAAAAGAGGCATGTCTGGGAGGCACGTTGGTTGAGTGTCTGACTCTTGACTTCGGCTCAGGTCGTGATCTCAGGGTTGGGGAGATGGAACCCCCATCGGGCTCTGTGCTGAGTGTGGAGCCTGCTTGGGATTCTCTCTCTTTCCTTCTGCCCCTTTCCCCAACTCTCGCACTCTCTCTCTCTCTCTCTCTAAAATTAAGAAAAAAACGTTTTAAAAAAAAGTTTGACTTTTATCTTGGTAGGCATCAAAACTGGATAGTTATCATGTGCCTAGGGTAGGGAGGTCACTTCTAAAAGCAGGGCACTGACATTTAATCCTTGCCGCGGACTGGTGAATTAAGTACAAACTCTACCCAGGAGACTAATTGTTCAGCAGATAAAGAGACTGGGGCACATGGGGGGCAAGTGTGTGTAGCTAAGGACGGTGGGGGAACTAAACCCTAGTCTCCCGATCTTCCCTTCAGCGCTCCTTGTTGGGATGTGGAGACAACAGATGTCTTATCTGAATATTATTGGCAGAGGTTTTGGTAGAAAAGCCAAGGGCGTAAAACAGGTCTGAAACTCCCTTTAGCAGACAACTTGGCAAAGTATAATGGATAGTCTTAACAATAAAGAATAAGGAATTATAGCAAACCCAGAATTTACCTTAAGTAGTCCTTTTGTGACTTGATACAATCTGGAATATCTTTGGGGAGGGAGGGTTTACAGTTCCTTAGCTATGATGAAGGGAAAAAAATAGAGAAATACCTGATTGCATACATGGGTCCAAAAGCAGCATGAGCCTTGCTGGTGTCATCAAAACATCTATGGTCACTCATTTTCTACCTTACCTGTCTTGACCTTGAAAGCCTTTTATAGTTCTTCAGAATTTTCTTCTTTCTGAGGTGAACTCTTTCCCTGGCTTTGTCCTTGCCAGTGTTTGGTTGGAGCAGAACTTCTTGTACATTTTCCACGTGAAATGAATCTGCTGTCACTCCCTTCAACTGTGGGTTTTGTTTCTCACCTGATTTATAGTCATTTGTGATGTCTTTTTCAAATTCTTCTGTTATCTCATGACTTTCTTTCTCCCCTGAAGGCGACAGCCCTGTACCGTGTCCGAAGTTTTCCATTTTTGTTGGGTGCTTTTTATATATGCAAAAGGTAAGACAGAGCAATATTTATCTAGATGTTAGCTTATGTAAATGTCCAGGTACTACTTTTGTCAATCTGTATTGTGTATCAGGAAAAGATTCTCAACCGAGAACTTTCTCAATGACTTTAATCTCAGATTCATTTTTAAGTATTGCCGTTTTGTAAGTCTTTTGAATGTCTGTAATGTCGAAATCTTATATTAAATGGAAAATCCTTTTATTTTGTTCTTCCATAACATCTTTTCCATCCAGAGCTATTCTTCTGAATTATGGACCAAAAACACATTAGTGGTTTGTATTGGTGTCGAGCTGTATTTTTCGTGAGCCGTGTCTTATTTTGTTGAGGGTGACTGCTCATCCTCAGTGTATTTCAGATGACTTTTTGCATCTTGTTCAGATAAATACATTTGCTCAAATGCCTTTGGATACAATTTATTTTCTCTCCCTTCTCATCTCCCTTAACTTACCCAAGGTCTGTATTCAGGGAAATATGTTACTATTTTTTTTGTGTCCTGTCTATATTTCTATGTAGAAATGATTCTTAGTAATCTAAAGAAGAAGAAAAAATACATTAATTACATAAACTATGTAGAATGCCTTTGCTATTAAGAAAGCCCAATAAAATGCAGTTATCATCAAAGAGTCATAGAGCTGGAAGGAATTTCATAAATGTAAGAGATTTTCATTATTAGATCAAGTAGCCCAAATTATTTACTTTTAAGATTAGGTAACTGAGGCCCCAAAATTAGCTGCTAGAAACAGAGCTAGGATTTGAACCCAGATCTGGCTCTTGGTTTCATGCCAGATGTGAAGGCCCTTTAGCAAGGATGTATCATTCCATTGGTCTCTGGGTTTGGTGTGTCGGATTATAGCTGGTTCTTTCTAGCTATTTAGGTGAGAACTCATCCTTCCTCCCTGAGCTGTGTGGTTGATTGAAAAGAAAAGTCTTTCTTCTGCCAAAAATAAACTGTTAGTTATTTTGCTGCCCATCACACTGGCGTGTTTCTTTAGTGGAGATAAAGGTAATATCAATGGCACAAAATGGAGGTGTAGGAGCATATAAACGGCTCTCATAGTAGCCAGTAACCCCTGCTGCCGCTTTTAGCTTGCTGTGGCTGGTATTATTTATGACACTAATCTTGTCATTGGATTGTGGGCAAGGGTGTCTGACTTCTGGGCTTTTATCTGTTCTTATGCTTTTTATGGTGTATATGTATCTGGGAATGAATGTGTTTGATACTGTAGAAATTATTTAAAAATTTTATTGTCCTTATTTACATTTTGGTCTCTCTTGATCAACTGGGTGGCATATTTTTTGTCTCTGCAGTTAACTCGGTGTTGGAGTTGTATTATTAATTCAGTCTGTAATTATTTAATCTGAAGAGTCTTTGTTTCCTGACAGTCCAACACCGTGATCTTTTATGATTCAGTAAGATCTTTTCTGATAGAGTTGTTTCATTACTTTTATTCAGTTCTTGATTTAGTTATTTGGGGAGAGTTGTTTTGTACTCTTTTATAGCCACCTTTCTCATGACTTCCTCTGCAGCATACGGGCATCCCAGATTATGTTGTTCCTGATAGATAAGCCATTTTTTTTGTCTGTTATCTTTGTTGACTTCCTATGGCAAGTACACCCTCGTGGCAAGTTTGGGCTTGTCATCCTGAAGGGCTTTGTGGCCCCAAGACCAATTTGGTGCCACTTCCTGTTTTACAATCTCCAGTCTCTTCATTGCTGATAAACCAGCCAATTTTGGAGTTTCAACAAGTTAGTTATCTTTGTTGCTGGAAAGATAACCTACCTCACAAAGTGAGATTTCTTTCTAACGTCAGGATTTGAAACTCGAAGTCTGTCACGTTGGGACAGTCCTGGAGTTTAAATTAGATTCTGACCTGTGGGGCATTTCTTGTTAGAAGTTACTGTGCTGCTCTTTTTTTCCTTTATGGCGAGTACACACCAGTGACAAGTTGAGGCTTGTCAGTGTGATGGGCTTTGTAGCTTGAAGCCGTAGGTGCCACTTCCTGTTTTGCACTTGAGAAACCGTCTGCTTTAATATTAAACATCTTTATAGTGGAGCCAGGCAGGTTAGTTTGGTTCCATCAGTGCAGAACTTAACCACCTATTCTCATTCGCCCTTCTGGCAACAGAAAAGCATTTTTTCTCTTTAACTCATTTAAATTGATTTGTTGAATCATCTGTACGAAAAGAGAATTATCCTGCTATGCAGAGGTAAGTGGTAACTTTCTTTGGAGGAAAGGAGAAAAAGCGGGGGGGGGGGGGGGGGG